GAACCGCACGCACACACACACACCATCACACACGCACACGCTCGCACACGCACACGCACACGCACACGCACACGAGCGCACGCGCGCGCACAAACACACACACACACAACACACACACACACACACACACCACACACGTATTTATATTTTATATCCAATATATAATAGTAATATATACTATATATATAGTATATAATATAATATATAATATATAATATTTTACATGTATTTTAATGATAGAGAAGGCTCGCAGGCAGGATTAAAGATGAGATTATGGATAAACCAGCTTAGTATCGAACCTGCTTGAACCTTTGCCATGATAGCAGTCATCACCAGGAAACACAGCATAGCGTTGACATACTGGGCAAGGTACTATCAACGGAAGCAGTGTCATTATCAACACAGGACTCTTATCGCATGTATGCGAATTAAATACAGCGGAACACACGTGTCAAGCAACACGCGCAGCCACAGATACATCTAATGCAAGCATATATGAACTAAAATATAAAAAAAAATAAAAAAATATAACATCGAAGAACAAAAAAAAAAAAGAAATTAACTCGGCCCAGAAATCCAGGGTTTCGTGCTCACAAACCTAAGTTCATTGACTCAAAACATCAGCGGGTTCTCTGCCATGAACTAACACGGATTTCGTGGCACGAAAAACCTGAGTTTTTAGCCCTAACCGCGTTTAGCATGAATCTAGTTTCTTAAACAAGAACTAGGTTTTCCGAACAAGCCAGACCTAGGTGTAATCTCCCTCAAGTAGTAGTAGTAGTAGTAGTAGTAGTAGTAGTAGTAGTAGTAGTAGTAGTAGTAGTAGTAGTAGTAGTAGTAGTAGTAGTAGTAGTAGTAGTAGAAGAAGTCATTTGCTTTATTATATTTTTAATTTATTTCTACCTTCTAATTCTCAGCATGGCGGATGTGGCGCGATCGTGCCTCCGCCTGGTGGAGGATGAGAGTTTAAACGGAGCCTGTCTGTTGGTGAGGAAGACAGACGGGGAGACGCTCCACTATCCCGGAGACAACATTTCTTACCAATTTTAGGCAGCTATCCAGGATAACCCACTTCCGGTTCTAGACAATTATCAAGTAGAGAAACTTATCTTCCGGTTACAGATGACTATTAAAGAAACAATATTTCTTACTAATGCTATACAACTAACCAGCTAGATAGGATATTTTCGTCTAGTTTTAGACAATGATATAGGATAGGTTACGTGCTCCCAGTGTCAGACGCTGTGAGCTGTAGATGTAGGATGTAACAAGCGTGTGCGTGCTCGGTGTGAATCTGGCTCGCTCCTCTAGGATGAAATGAAGCCGCTATTACTGGTAGATACATGAATACAGAAATTCTATCTCACGCGGGTTATTACACGGTGTGTGGTGTTTGTGGCGATCATGCGCCTAAGGCAGCCGATAATTAACCCCGATACGTATTACCATCGTCGCCACTTGCCACAGAAAACTGTCGGCGACTGCCAGATAACGTTAAACGTTTCGAACATGATTTGTTCCCTGATTCGTTTCGTCTCAACTGAATATCGTTTGTAACTGCATAAATAAAAATAAATGTGAATTGACTTTTCAATAAATTATGCACTATTAATGATTTAATTAGCATGGTTAATTATATTGATGATGTATTAGTAATAAATGCATTTAAATAAATTAGATGAATGAATGTGCTTATGTTTCCTGAGTAATTATTTACTATAAACATTTCAAATTTAATTCGATACATCTGAGAATATTTTACGTAATAAATGATTCATTTATTTATTTGACGAATGTATAAACGTATGGCGAGATTTTCCACTAATGTCAATGTTTAGACTAGGCCAGTATCTTTCAACATGGGCTAGACTTTGGATGAAAGGAGGTAGGTTGAATGGAGGAAGGAATGAGATATGACCCTCCACCGATTCCGTGCATACACACACACACACACACACACACACACACACACACATCCCCCCCCCCACATTTCACAATGGGTTTGCGCGCCTGCTGGTTGTAGACAACTATCCAGGATAGTCGCAACTAACAGCGTCTGACATCGAAACAAAGGCTATGTTTTTGTAGATGTAGGATGTAACAACCGTGTGTATGTTCGGTTGAAATCTGGCTCGTTCAGCTAGGATAAAATGAAGCCTCTATTACTGGTAGATGATCTGAAAATGCTCATACATACGCTGCCCCCTAACGAGCTATCATTGTTTGTGTGAAGCCTGTTCCCACGGATAAATCCGCGAGTCTGTTATTCGTTTTACTAGTTTCATGTGTTATTTCATCTCACTCTGAGTTATTTTGTCGAGCTATTGTTTTCCTTATTTGTGTTATATTATTCTCACCGGTGTGTTTTCTTTGATTAATAAATAAAATAAGATATTAATCAGTCAATTAGCAAAGAAAAACGGGCAGAAGAACGACGCACAATGAAGTAACAAAAATTCGAATAATTAATCAGTTAAATGCATATTAACAAAAACATAAAATTATTTGATGAATGATACTACTACTATAATTTCAATTGATTGTTGTACGAACACATAAATAACAATAAATAAGTAGACGGAAACAATTCACTGTACTATTGATTTCAATTACTGTTAAATTGTTATGCAGGAGAATGAAATGTGAGAGGTAGTATGGAGATATGAGATAGGTTACACAGGGGGAGACAGGGGGTTGAATGAGGTTGGGAAGGAAGCAAGTTGCATATGGGAAAATACAATCTGGGGAAAATGAAAAAAAGAACCACGCGACCGCGCGGTGCTGCCACCTATATATACCAAGCGTTCGCCGCATCTCCGGTAGCGACGAGTGAGTATCCAAACACGCTCGTCATCTGCTCGTAGGTGCGGATGTAGCGCCACTGCGCATGCGCAGCCAGCCAGCAGGCGAAGAGCAGTCCAAGGTGGTCTGTGAGTGAGATAGCAGTGTAGCGTGCGCTCGAACATCCGTGAGGCTTTCACGCAACGTGGATTTCTATACATAAGAAGAATACATACAGAATTACTAATGTATTCTTCTTCTCACCCTCGCCACACTAAAAATAGCTTCCCGCATTCTCAATTGTTACGTTTAAAAAATATATGCAGCTCAAAAACTGATTTTAACACAAAAGCTTCCAATATGATTGAATGTTGTACACGCCGTGGCTATAATCAATCTGATCTATCTAAGAAATTAAAAAAGATACTTCCCTTAAATCGGGCGTCGTTAATAACCCCTAGAAAAGACGGCGAGAAAGTCACCCTTCAATCCTGCACATCAAAAGTTTGTTAATTAATAATTATAAAATATTTCAAAACAATCCATTCACAGTTAACATCTTTTCAAACCCACCTTTATGCTCGTGCAGACGTGATACCAACCTCCGCGACACTCTTGTTTCAAGCAACTCTGAGAACCCCGTGAGCCAACCTGGCTCATGCCCGTGTTGTCGGAAACGTTGCAGTACTTGAAATGTTATCACGAATAGGTCTGTGGTTCAAGGGCCTCGGGGCAAATTTATAGTGCGGGATTCATTTACATGCGTGTTGACGAACCTCATTTACGCCATTGAATGCGTTAAATGCCAAATTTACTATACTTATTATACAACAAAACGCCGCCTTGCGGATAGGTTTGTTGAACACCTAAGATCTATTCGCCTCAATTTCTATGGTTTTCCGGTTGCTGACTATTTTAACCAACCGGATCACCACATTGATGACGTGCGTGTGTGTGTGGCTGCCAACTGACACCATATTACAATAGCTCACGTCGACACATGACTGAGCAGAAATTAATTCTGAGGGCTGGTTGTTTAAATCCAGGGGGCATGAACGTAAACTTTAATTACGTGTGATTTTTGAGTCAATTGCTTCGTTGTGTATGTGTGTGTGTGTGTGTGTGTGTGTGTGTGTGTGTGTGTGTTCGGGATGACGAAGCGAGTGCACAATTGCAAATTAAGAGGAGGATCAACATCCGGGCGGGTCCGCCAGCTGAAGCAGGAGTACGTGGACGCAGCCCCCGTAACTTCTGTTCTGGCCGATTGAGTCTTGGGAGGGAAAAAAGGTACTGAGAGCGAGCTGGGCTACGTCTAAGAGTAATGCAGGGCTTACTGCTATCAGACGTGGACGCCCGAAAAGGGTTCGGCTCCTGCGGAAAATCCAGATTCTCTCATTAGCCCGCCGCGCCTGCGGGGAGGAGTTCTTCAGTAGCTCGCTGAACGGAGGGAGGATGACGGGACACTTCGAATCTGTAAAATTCTCGGCTCGAGTCCTGGCAACACTTTACGTGGGCCAGAAGCTTGCGTCGGGATGTTGAACGATGGCGAAGTGCGACAATTGCGGCTCGACGTAAGGGTGGCGCCGCAGGACGCAAAGCGGGTTACAACAGCAGCGGCATCGGAGCTCTCCATGGGAGAGGATGGCCATCAACTTCGTTCGGACTGCTGCCCTCTGCACGCGGGAGGCGGAACAAGTTACGCTAGTCGCATTGTGAATTATTTCACTAAGTGCGAGGCATTATGATGTTCGCCGATTCAACAGCTGCAAACTCGCCGGCCGAGTGCCTGGTGACCAGCTGTTTGTGGGCGAATTCGGTTGTCCTCGCCGCCAGCTTACACTGCCGACCAGTGTAGGTGCTTTGCGAGCGAAGCGTTTACGGT